AGCCACACCAGCCAGGGCATAATATGCCTTATCTTACATCTGCTAACCTGCTACTGTGACTATTGCTTTCCCCGATTCAATTATTTGCATTTGCTTGATCCTGATAGATTTTGTCTCAGTTTCTTATTATAATTTTCTCTGGGTGTTTTTAAGGATTCAGGCGTCTCTGAAAACCAGTCCATCACACCCAGACAGGACCGCCTCGTCCACACCACGCGTGCCACGTGGAGACGCGCTGGTGCGGAGGTCGGTGTATCCCCTGCTCTAACACTACAAACCATGACCACGCAATGGAGAGACCAGGTCTCGGCTTAGATGATGACAGCAGCGGCCAGCAGGCTGCGGCCGCCCTGAGCGTGAGCCCGGGAGATTCTCACCACCGGAGCATCCTGCGCTGCATCCAGTGGCTGGCCCATGCCTGCCAGTGCCGCCACGGCGGCTGCTCCCTGGCCCCGTGCCAGAAGCTGAAGCGGGTTGTGCAGCACACCAAGGGTTGCACATGGAAAACCAACGGTGGGTGCCCCATCTGCAAGCAGCTCATCGCCCTCTGCTGCTACCACGCCAGGCTCTGCCAGGAGCACACATGCCCGGTGCTGCTGTGCCCGCACATCAAGCAGAAGCTCCGGCAGGCCCAGACGCACTGCAGGACGGCTGGCGGGCGCCGGGCTGGCGTGGTGGGGCAGCAACGGGGCCCGCCCTCTCCAGCCCCTGCCACTCCAGCCCCCCCGCAGGCTGCTCAGCTGCCCTTCCCAGGGTCCCCGCCTGCGGCAGTGGACGTGGCGGTGCACGGTCAGAGGGCGGCTGAGACGCAGCACCGGATGGCACATGCGCGGACTTTTCTCAGGCCGATCCAGCTCCAGGTGCCCCAGGTGACCCCAGTGGCCTCCATGGGTATGGACCCGCCTCCCGTGGCCAGAGGTCCTGGTGGGCACTTGGAGCCAGGGGTGGGGCCCCCTGAGAGGCAGCAACAGCCACCGTGGGCCCAGGGAGTCTTGCCTCAGCCCCAGCAACAACAGGCCGGGATGCCAAAGCCAGCCGTGATGTCAGTGGCCCAACACAGCCAGCCCTTGAACATGGCTCCCGAGCCAGGATGGGGCCAGGTCGCCGTGCCCCGCCTCAAACCAGGCACTGTGTCTCCACAGGCCTTGCAAAACCTTCTGCGGATTCTCAGGTCTCCCAGCTCTCCCCTCCAGCAGCAACAGGTGCTTCGTATTCTTCGTGCCAACCCCCTGCTGCTGGCTGTGTTCGTCAGGCAGCAGATTGCCAAGTACGCCGCCACTCATCGGCACCTGCTCCCTGGGCAGCCGGGCCTGTCCCAGAGCCAGCCAAGGCTGCAGCCCCGTGCCACGCCAGGCCAGCAGGGGGTCTGTGCCAGTCCGGCCACGCAGAACAGGAAGCCCACGCAGGCAGGCCTGCCGCAGCAGCCACCCCAGCCTCCCGTGGGAGGAAGAAGCCCCCAGGCTCAGCAGATGAACGTGAATCACGACACCATGACTTCACGGTTCTGAGACATCTGGAGACGGCGGCAGAGGATGCAGCAGATGGGCAACAGCAACGTGTTCCAGCAGCCCCAAGGACTGGGCCACGCTCCACCGCAGCAGCAGCAGTATCGCGTACAGCGGATGCAGCATCACATGCAACAGGTGCACCAAGGGAACATGGCGCAGGTGCACCAGCCCCCAGGCCTGGGGAGCAGAGGCAGGAGCCAGTCTGCAGGCCTATCAGCAGTGACTCCTTCAGCAACAGATGGGGTCTCCTGCTCAGCCCAGCCCCATGAGCCCCCCAAAGCATATGCTCCCAAATCTGGCTCAGTCCCCACACCCGCAAGGCCAGCAGATCTCTTCTTGTCTCTTCCATCAAGTGCATTCTCCCCCGCCTGTCTCTTCTCCATGGCCACAGTCTCAGACCCCCGACTCCGGCCCCTCCCCAGGGAGGTAGCCTCAGCCTCCTCCACAGCACATCCCCCCACACACCGCATCCGGGACTGGTAGCGCCCCGGCCAACCCCGCGGAACGAGTGCATTTCACTTGCTCAAACCAGAATCCGATGCTTTCTCAGGTCACTGGCAATCCAGGGATGGCAGGCCTTCCTGGCGTGGGCGCCAGCAACGGGGGGGCTGAGCACCCATAACACGGACTCAAATGCCAACCTCTCGCAGAGCGACTAGATGTCCACTAGAGGCTCCTTGGAGCATTTTGGGGACACATGATTATTTTCCCTTAACAAGACTGTTTTGCACTGAAAACGTTTAAAAAATCTCTCTCAGTCTAAAAGACAAGTTTCCTTGGAACGCATAAGAACTGTGCAGTAGCTGCTTGTGGGTTAAAGCAAACACGCGAGAGGAACTTGAGCGATGACAGCTTACGAAGAATATGTTTCTGCCCTGGCTGGTTAACGGCAGCCTCTCTTCCCCATCGTGTGCGCGCCAGGTGTGCATGGGGGAGGCTGAGGTCTGTGAGGCCACCTGCTCCTGCCTTGCACCGCCAATACGTTTTTAAAATTTTTTTGAAATAATTTTTTATTTGTTCTCATCAGTTTTGTCTTTTCAGGTGCCCGTTCCATTATTACATTTTTCTCTTTCATTTGCTGTGTCAACCCTGTAATATAGTATATTTTTCTTCGTAATTCGTTGTGTAGATTATACATTTTTAGCTTATATTTTATGCAGTGTTTATATGTCTGCTGGTAGTTCCTTTTAAGTTTTTCAGAAATAGTTTTGATTTTTTTGTTACTTAAAATGGCTAACAAAAACTATAGATCTGTTTTTTTTTTTAAAATAAGGTCTTTTGACTGTCTATTTTTAGTTTTTTCAGCTTTAAAATAGAAATTAGGAGGGATGATGAAATGCACTGATGTCCATTGTTCGTTTGGTCTATTAATTTATGCAGCATTAGCCTCCTGCATGACTAGAATTGCGATGATGTAACGCACTGTGAGAGGGACTTACCTGGTACCTCTGAGTTCTGTATTTCTGTCCCTATTTTAACTGTTACAAAGGCTCGGTGTCAAAGAAAACATTTTCTCTTTTTACTGTTTTCTCATGACATTATTTTTAAACCTCATTGTTTCATTAAATTTAAGCGTACAGTTCTATGATATGTCATCTGTATATTGCATCGGGTGTTCACATCCCAAGTCAAATCTTTCGTCACCGTATATTTGACCCGCTTTGCCTTTTGCTCTCCCATCCATCCCCCTTCCCTCCAGTAACCACTATACTGTTGTCTGTGTCTATGAGTATTTTTTGTTTTTCTTGTTTGTTTATTTTTTGCTTGCAGTTTTAGGTCCCACGTGAGAGCGAAATAATATGATCCTTGTCCTTTTTCATCTGACGTTTCTCACTTAGCATGCTATTCTCAAGATTTATCCATGTTGTCACTAATGGCAGTATTTCATCTCTTCTTCTGGACGGATGAGTAGCATTCCAGTGGGGCCATTGTTTACAAATCCTCTCCCATTCGGTTGGTTGCCTTTTTATTTTTGTTGGCAGTTTCTTTTGCTGTGCAAAAGTTTTGTAGTTTGATATAGTCCCAGTCATTTAATTTTGCCTTTGCTCCTTTGCCTTTGGGGTCAAATTCATAAAATCCTCTCTCAGACCAAGGTCAATATGATAAAAAAGATAGCAAGAGACAACGATGGACATTTTATAATGATAAAGGGGGAAGTACATCAAGAAGACATAACACTTCTCAGTCTATACGCAGGAATCAGGAAGCACAGAATTACATAAAACAACTACTAACAGAACGAGTGAGGGGAAGTGACAAAAGCATAGTCATAGTTGGGGACCTCAGTACCCCTTTGACAGCTATAGATAGACCATCCAAACACAAAACCAATGAAGAAATATCAGTCTTAAATGACGCATTAGACCAAATGAACATGATTGACATTTACAGAGCTTTTCAACTCAGAACACCAGGTTAGGCCCTCTTCACTAGGGCGCAGCAAACATGATTAAGGATAGGCTCTATGTCGGGACACAGAACGAGCCTCAACACGTTTAAGAAGATTGGAAATATACCAAGCATATTCTCTGACCAAATGCTTTGAAGTCAGAAATCAACTGCCAAAAAAAAGAAAGAAAGAAAGAAAGAAAAAAAAAGCCACCTCCCCACAAATATGTGGGGATTAAACAACATCCTACTAAAACATGACTGGGTCAAAGAAGAAATAATATGTGAGATTAAAAGATACATAGAGACAAATGGGGATGACAATACGACCTATCAAAACGTTTGGGATGGCTGCATCCCAATACAATGCGATACAACATGGAGAAGTGCGGAAAAGCGGGTGGTTAAAAGATTCTCAAGTGTGAGAAAGAGGAGAAACAATAGGAACAAGAATGGGGCTTCCTGCAAAGTCTGACAAGGTCAGTAACACAAACAATTGCGCACCCGGTCCTGATCATTACAAAATTCCTACCGGAGCCGGTTATTGCAGAGGCACGTCCTAAGGCCTCCATGACAGGGTGGCCTGTACCTTGAGCAAGCTCTGCCCATTACTTTTGTGCATCTGCAATAATAATGACTGTAAATGTCAAAATGATCTCTTCTCCAGACCTCCAGAGATGAATGCCCCGATAAATACTGGCAGCAGATGACCGCAACGTCGCTCAGTTGTTATCTTTTACCCGCAGACCTGGGTAAAATACTTGTATAAGATGTTAACCATCTGGCATCGCCATGTAAAAGAAACATGCATCTCTCCATTTTACTTTGAACCCAATCCTAGACATTTCCTGGCTTGACTTTTAAGAAATCCCATGAGAGGACTATCACAAGTCATGGCAAAGAATTCCACCTCTAGACCCGTAGGGAGGAGCTGAGAGGCAGCGCCGGGCGTCTCCAGCCAGACTTAGTGCAACCGACATGTTTTGCTACTTTTGAACATTTTTAGATTGAGTGTTGATTTTGAGTAGCATGTGGGGGAGAGGAGACGCCGATGGAGCTTCATGGAGATGGGTGGCCCCAAATCCCAGACATTCCTTCAACGTGTCACTGATTAGGGGGAGCACGGGGCCGGTAGTCCCGACTCCTGGGACTGAGGAAGAAGGGGCTGCGGGCTTGATGTCCGCTGAGGCGGCGTCTGGGTTCAGAGGGTGAGGGGCGCTGCCCCTCCTGCTGCTCCCCCTGGTGGTCAGGCTGGGAAACGACAAGCCCCCGGAGGTCCGGGACTGCGGCGCCCGCGCGGATCCAGGACCTGGAGGCGGGGCACAGGCTGAGAGCGCGCTTTACGGAGCAGCAGAATGGAAAAACGACGCCCAAGACTATCTTCCAAAGAGTCCTGGATGTTTTTTTCCCCCTATCTTTCCCCAAGGATATGTTTATTGATGGGGGGCGGGGGAGAGAGAGAAGGAACATCGATGTGAGAAACACCCATCAATTGCCTCCCATACGCTCATCCGAGGACTGAACCGGAAACCTAGGTGTGGGCCACGGCTGGGGATCCAACACTCGACATTTTGGTGTTCAGGACAACGCTCCAACCAACCGAGTCACCCGGCCAGGGCACGTCCCTGTGTTTTTGAGCCCTGCCAAGTTGATGGCAAGCACTTTTGGCGGGCAGTGCAAGCGTGTGCTGAACCTGACCTCCCAGCAGCTTGCTGACGGGGAGGCGCAGGCTACAGTCACCCCCTGCGTGGAATGACGGCGGATGCCGATCCGCTCAGCTCCGCGTTTCTCAGGGCTGCCAGGAAAGAGTGATTCAGCCTTGGCGACTGACTCATGGAGCCGGCAGTGACACCGCAAACATCCTCAGTCCCTGTGGTTGCATAAAAGCGAAAGGTGGCTCCTCAAATATTGCTCAGTGGTTTGGGACTCATCGCCTCCGTTGGATTGGAAATGCGTGTTGCAAGAATAAAGATCACCAAGGCAGGGTCAGGGAGCGGGATGGCCTCCCTTTGCTCCTGGACGGCTGCCGCCTTGAAGCAACCCCTCTCTGAGCCAGTAGGTGGTGTATGCCGCCCAGAACCTTACACAAGGCGAGAGCCAGAGTTAGGATTTAAATGCAGAGATGGAGGAGCTGGGGCTGGCTGACACATCTCTACCAAAAAATAAAAATAAAATAAAATAAAAATAAGGGGGTTCTGCCCCAGCCGGGTGGCTCAGTTAGTTGGAGCGTAGTCTTGGACACCAAAAGGTTGTGGGTTCAATCCCCAGTCAGGGTATATGCAGGAGGCAACTAATTGATCTCTCTCTCTCTCTCTCTCTTTCACTCTCTCACCCCTCCCTCCTTCCCTCTCTAAAATCAATAAAAGCATATCTTCAGGTGAGGATTAAAACACATTTTTTTGAAGTGGTAAAGAAGGGTGATTCTGAAATCTACCAGTGATACCACTCTGCTGTGAATGAACTCTCCATCCAAATATCTGAACTGTTGGAGTCTGTTACGTGAATTTCTCATTATAGACAGCATGTGAAATCCCAAGTGTTTGAAGATTAAGTACAGATCCAGGAACTCAGGATGCTTTTAGATAATAGAGTTAAACGCATTAAAGCTTCAAAGTGAAAATCCATGAGTGTTCGGGTTTGTCTCTGCTTTAAAAACATGGCTGTCCGGCGAGCCTTGTGCCCCTGGGTACAATGTGCATTTAAACCACAGCCGTACTTCGCTGTGGCAGAAAATAACCACCTTCTTGTGGAGGCTGCCTCGACTTGGCAGACATACAAGCGTTTGCTGGGGCTTCATTTGTTCCTTCAGATGGTGCGTCAGCCTCACTTTCACCTTCCCGCTGGTTTCCCGAGCTCTGCAGGCAGTCGAAGTAGTTCTCACCATTGCTGATTCACGCCATCTCTTTTCGCCCCTTCTGCCTTCCCAAGGCATCGACAAGACCCGTTTCCAGAGAATTAATTCGAGAGACGCTGAAAAACAGAACTCCCTCCCTCTTCATTTTTGGTGCTGGGCTGTGTTGTCACTGAGCCCTGGCCCGTGGGAGTGTCATAGGGACTCAGAGAACACGGGGGCCGTGAGTTCTTTGCATTCCAAATCGTCCTGGAATGAGACTTTTCAAAACCCACTGTGTGTAAAAGCAGAGGCTTGCGTCTTACGCATCTGTGTGCCCCTGTAAAGCGTGAAAGGTGAGTTTGCGTCTTCCCCTCTCGTGGAATGACCACGGTGCCATTCGACGACAGACATGGCCATATCTGATTCAGAGCTAATAACGAGAGGGTGAGAGAGGCCGCAGTCCCTGATTTCCACCATAATCCCAAATCTAGTTTATATTTTGGCCACGACTCTCAATTGCAATCTTAACACAAGCTCGAGTTTAACCTGCAACCTTAGTGGTACCTAATCCTCACCCTCAGTACTTCTTTGTCCTTCTTTGTCCAATTTACGCCTCAACGTGGCACCTACCTGCTGACCGAGCTCCTGACTCCACGTGTCGACTCATGCTACGTCTCCTACATCGAGCAAACTTAGCCATGACTCTTGACTTGAACCCTGAACTGCTATCCATACGCCAGACTCAGCCTGATCCCAAACACTAGATGTCACCATAGCCTCAGTTCCAAACCTGGCCCCATGCACAGCTCAGACTTTAGTGTACATTCCTGTCGTATTCCAGGACGTACACACTGACATCCGCGTTGTGCGACCACCTCCAGTTCACAGCTGACACGAGTCCGCACACTCTGACGCCAGCCCCAGCCCTGTTCTCATTCCCAACCCCTTTCTACCTGAACTCCTTCCTCATGTCCACATCCAACTGTCCTCCCGTCCTTCTTCAACTGCGCACACTGTATGGACTTTCTATCACAAAAAGTCTAACATAAAGTCGACAAACAACATATTAAGTTTGACCTCACACAGACTAAATAAATCCAAGATAAGTTTCCAAATCAACTTCTCAAGGTAAATGGGAGGATTAAATAAAATGATTTAAAAATAGATGGGCACTGCCCTGGCTGGTGTGGCTCAGTGGACTGAGTGCTGGCCTAAGAACCAAAGGGTCACTGGTTCAATTCCCAGTCAGGGCACGTGCCTGGGTTGTGGGCCAGGTCCTCAGTAGGGGGCGTGTGAGAGGTAACCACACATTGATGTTTCTCCCCCTCTCTTTCTCTTTTCCTTCCCCTCTCTCTAGAAATAAATAAATAACATCTTTATTAAATTAAAAAAAAAATAGATAGGCACTGAATTAACATTGGCTGTCTTACCACATCATCTGGAGAACTTCAACTTCTTCTTTTACATTCGGTGTGATATGTTAGACACTCCTTGGAACTTTTCACTATTTCCCCCAGAGGCCCAAGCGACAGGTATCTTCCTCACGTTTGTAGGTGAGAAAGGGAGGTTTGATGTTGGTGAGGCCGAATGAGCAAAGTGATTCAGCTCAAGGTCCAGAAGGGGCAGAATTTGAATCTTGGGAACGGCTGATAGTGTCACCAAAGTGCAAGCCCACGCTCTGTGAAAGAAATTTCCCGGAGATGCCCTTGCAACTCTCAGAGTCTCATTTGGCTGAGAACAGATTCAGGACCCCACGAACCTCCAAATGAGGCCACCACCCGCATTGGCAAAAGTCCCACATCTCAGCCCTGCTCTGCCCTTCATTTTAACCCCTGACCACTTCGTAAGTTTCCCCCAGACACCTTGGCTCACCCTGCCCTCGCCCTACCGCTGTTGCCTGGACCTTTGCCTGATGCCCTACCTCCTAGCTCATGATCACACCCGAGCACTGGCACCTACCTGTCCTGCCAGCTGTCCTTTGTCCTCGGGGATCCTGGACACTGATCTTGAAACCTTCTGGTTTAGCGCCTTGAGATCTTGAAAGCCTTCTTTTTCCTGACTTCCTGGAATCACTTCCCCCTTCTTCCAGGACATCTCACTTCTTGAAAAGCTGCCCCCTTCCTATCTTTTTGGGGTAACTGCCAATTATACTCCTCAAAGAGCTCCCACCCACAGGGGTCAATGCACGACCCAGGTTAAGCTAACAAGGGCACTGTTGTTTCTGCTCTAGAAATAAGGATTGAGGCAAAAGAAGGGGCTCTGTTCATGCCGGACCAGTCAGAGTTCTTCCTTGGGATTCATATCAAGACGCCAGGAGAAAGGAGGTCTCCGTTTTTGCTCAGTTTGTTAACCAAGTCCGTCTGTGGCTGCTCTTTTCCTCGAGGTCAAGGGTGGCTAGAAAGAGACATAGGAAGGAAGGAAAGACACAAGCAGAGATGAGAAACAGCTGAAAAACATGAGAGAGAGAAACAGAGGAAGAAAGAAGGAGGCAGAGTGTGAGAAAAGGAGAGCTCATTGGCTTGAGTGGCCATGGGAACAACTGGACATTCTGGTATCCATGTCACTTCCTCCGATCTGGAGCCATGCCCACGGCCTTCTCAGCCACCGCAGTGAGCCAATGGCCCCTTGCACGTCTGCCAGGTTGTGTGAGGCTCCACTTGCACCCAAGTGTTCCCTGACTAGGGCAGAATTGAGCTCCCATCTACGTGGGTCCTTCCAGCTTTTGCCCGCTCCTGGGTGCTCTGATCCTCCGCCCACCTCCCCAGTCCACTCTGCTCCTGAATTTCAGGTTCACCTTGGACAAGTCTCTTCCCCTCCATGTCACCAGTGACTCAACATTTTAATACTAGAAATTAACCTCTCTGTGTACCGGGACATGATAGGATATCTAAGGGTAGTGAGGAAAATCCTGGCCAATGAGAGAAGGGGGTTGTGCCCTGAGGGTCCAATGCAGAGAGGAGACTGTGGGGACTGAGCTGGTAAGCCTTCCTTTCCGGCCTCTGCTGAATCCACTTGCCAACCATAGGAAGAGTGAGCAGAATTCTCCAGAGAGACAACTTCTTGGCTGGAGCCCTGATGGAAGGACCGTGATCCTGGCCAATGGGGACGAGCGCACTGGAGCATGGTCTTCAGGGACCAATCATTGACAAAGGGGGGAGGGGCTTCCACGAAGGAGACCAAGCCAGGGAGGGCCCTGAGGACTGGAGGTGCAGCCAATGGGAAAGAGAGTGTTTTATCTGCGGGAAATCCCAAGACTTGTTCTCGTTATCGTGGGGACAGGACGTCTTTGAAGGAGCAGTGAAGTCCAGGGCGCCATTCGCTGAACAACGGAGAAGAGAACATTGCTCCCCATGAAACCCATCAGAGGAGCAGGCCGCTGTGCCAGGGAGCCCGGTCAGGCGCCAGGAAGCCGTGGCTGCCTAGCTGGTCGCAGGCCGAGTCAGCACAAACGTCAGGAACTGACGCTCAGACACGGAGCGGAAGGCTGTGTGTCCTCTAGCCTCAGACTCTCTCTTTCATGGGCATCTCCTCTCACCCCCTTTAACGCCCCCCTCCCTGGCCCTCATCCTGCAGATGGGGTTCCCAAGACAACGAAAGCAAACATTTAACACCCTCCGCCCGTGTGCAGTGGGACGCACAGGGAACGCGAGGCCTCCTCTGCATCTGATACGGTGACCTCAGTGTGCGCGGACCCTTCAGAGCCACCTGCTGCCACCCCTCCAGCCTCTTCAGGGTGGCAGAGGTGAGGGGAGAACGAGGCCTCGGAGTCGCGGACCTGCCGCGGGTCCGCCCCACTGCCGCCTCCTGCACGGACCACGCCGCTGTGACTCGCCCAGGGCAGGCGTCCTCACGCGGCTTCCAGAAAGGAGTTCTGCTTCTGCGCAGCCCAGGGCACCAGGAAAGGCCTCTGAGCGTGCAAGTTCCCACAGAGAGCGACCTTTCCCTCACCCCGACTGCACGTAGCGTTTTTAGTGCACCCGCACCTGCGCGGGCCGTTTCTGGCCCATCCCACCGGGCTCAGCCCTTCTCACCCAGGAAACAAAGCCGTGGGCCCTGCTGTTTCGTTTTCTCCACCTCGAGTGGGACCCCTGGACCCCGCCTTCGGTGTCTTGCCTGGGTCATTTTCAAATTAACGCCCAGGTGACTGGCGGACTTGGAGGGGCCTATTCGTGACACTTCTGTCCCTCTCTCTGCAATCTCCCCGCATACAGAAACCACCAGGTTCTCAATTTCAGCTAAGTCCTATGTTTCCAAATGTCACCTCCTCCTAGAAGCCTTCCCTGACCATTCTAATGGAAACACCTCCTTCCCCCCACCTTCTTACTGCCTATGGCATTTCATTATAGCGGTTGACCCTGCCTCATGTTTCCCGTCACAGGCATTTGCTTATTGTCACTTTCCCTCGCCTACCGGGCAGCCCCGCGAACATAGGGACTCCGGCAGCACAGCGCCGCCGGGGCCTGTCAGATCCTCACCAGCAAGTGTCGAATTAATGTTTCGGAGTAGAATTCAGTTTTCTTCTTCTCTTTACGTAAATACATATTTACTTTATTTTTCAATTGTTGTTGAAATTCATGATTATTTTATATTAGTTTCAGGTGCCTTCATAGTGGTTCGGCAATTATATAGATTACAACATTTCCCTCCAATAATTCCTGCACCCACGGAATTCATTTTTCTGATTAGCCTTTGAGCAATAGACTTGGGGAGACACCCGCCGGTTGGCCACTTTGCTGTGCCAGAAACTGTGAGTTCACGTCTCATATAATCCTCACAGCATCTTTCAGAAGGACGGGTGCATTCATTCATTTCATTATTTACTCATCCAACAAATTCATTCAAAAAATATGTTTTGGGCTCCAACATGAGCAAGAGAAATACAGAATGAATGAAATAGACACAACTCGAGCCGTTATGGAGCTTTGAAGTCCTTTGGGTAGTTACCCCCATTTTGCAGGTGAGGAAGGTGAGGCTGAGAGACTGGAAAAGACTTGTCCAGGGGCAAGGGACAGAGCCATGGTTTGGCGCGAACCTGCCTGATACACGAGCGGGTGGGCGTCCACAGCCTCCCACGGGCTCCCTGGGAGTGGGGGTCAGGCAGGCGGGACCTGGGTCCCGGCTTTGCTGCATCCTGGTGAGTCACAGCGCCCCTCTGAGCTGAGCCCCAGTGCTTCACTGTGAAGCAGGGCGAGAGGCTGCCTGGGCTCCCAAATCCCAAAGGGAGGGCCTCAGTGGACGTCCAGGCTTCTGGGCTCAGAATGAAAGGGTTCTTGGCCCTTGACTGTGGGTTCTGTGGCAGGAAGACCTGGGCTCCCTGAGGGATAAGGGCCTGGGAGACTTGGCTCCCAGCTTTGAGTGAGGAGAGGGCTTAACTTTGCTTGTGTAGTGCATCAAAGGCGGCAGAGCTTCCACACCACGGGCAGGCGAGGGGGACGGTGGGGTCCGGGGAGATTCAGGAGGGTGAGGAAATGAGGAGAAACACGAGGGAGAACATAGCTGCCTGACAAGTCGGACAAAGTCCATGACTGAAAGCAACCACACGAGGTGCTCTCATCATGAAAAACATTCTTTAACAGACTGAGTTATTGCCTGAAGTCATGTCCTAGGGCCTGTATGATAGATTAACCTTAATCGTGAGCCAGCCCTGGCCCTTGATTTTGTGCATCTGTAGCAATAACGTACTTCAAACCTCAGCATGCTCTCTTCCCCAGGTCTGCAGGGATGAATTCTGCCCTGACCCTGGGAGGAGATGACCCCCACATTCCTCCTTGTTACCTTTTACAGGGATAGCTCCACGAACTCTTGATGTGTGATGGGAACTATTCTGCATTGCCCTGTCAGAGAAACGTGTATCTCACCCACTTACTTTGTATCTACTCCTAAAGATTTCTCCACCTCACTTTTTAAAATTTCAACAAGAGAACTATCACAAATCACTGGAAAGAACTCCTCCTCCAGGAGCTGAGGGGCGGCGCCAGGCGCCTCCAACCAGACTTAGTGTAACTGCCTTGTTTTGTTCCTTTTTAAAATTTTAGATTAAGTATTGATTTGGGGTGGCGTGTGGGAGAGAGGGTACATTGATGGAGCTCCGTGGGGGTGGGTGACCCAAACCTGAGACATTGTCTAAGTTGTCACTGATCCAAAGAAAGGATGAGGCTGTAGGTCTGAACTCTTGCGTCTAAGAAAGGTGGAGGCTGTGGGCCCAGAAATTTGGGTCTGAGGGATGCGGGGGCTGGGGACTTGAACTCTTGGACCTGAAGGATGTGTGAGATGGAGGCCAGAGCTTCTTGTCTGAGAGAGGAGCGTCTTGAGGGCTGCTGTCCTGGGTTGAGTGGGGAAGGGTCTGGGGGCTTTAAGTCTTGGGTATGCATCAGGGGCAGGCAGGAGAGCTCAAAATTGTGCATCTGAGAAAGGAAGGGGTTGAAGCCTGGAATTCTGGGTCTGAGAAAGAAGTGTATTGGGTTCCTGGGTCTGAGACATCAGTGGCCTAGGGGTTTGAAGTCTTGGGTCTGAGGTAGAAGGGGTCTGGACGCCCAAACTCACAGGTCTAAAGAAGAGGCTGGGGGCCTAGATTCTTTTGTCTGAGGGAGGACGAGAGTGTGGGCGCCTTGGCCGCTGCGTGTTGTGGGAGGAGGGGGCTCGGTGTCCTCTGCGCAGAATATTGGCGTCCGCGCGATTTCTGCCACGGGGGCGTCTTTAGTTGGGGATGAAGGGAGACTCAAAAGAGGGGTGGGATGAGGACAAGGAAGATTGGGAGGCAGTCGGTCAGAAGGACCTCTGGGAGGAAGCCCGCCGTGGCGGTGGAGCGGGGTGGGTCTGGGGTGGAGAAGCCGCCTGTGAGCAGGGCCTCACTGCCAGGAGCCGGGGGCCAGGGCTCCGGAGACCTTGTCATGCCCCGAGACACAGGCGCCCCTTCCTCCTCCCTCCTCCTTCCAGAGCCCCCTGCCCGCATTGTGTGAGGACAGTCGCCCACCCTCCGGGGTTCCCAGCCCCATTGGCCTCTCCTACTCCAGACTCTGGGTGCTCACGTGAGCAGGCCCTCGTTGGGGCCCTGTGTCCTGCCCACGGGCCGGCACTAACCATCCTGCAAACCTCCTCCCGCCGTCTGAGTTTGTCACCTGTGAAATGCTCAGAGGCTCTCTCCCATCCCTTTGCCACGTACGAAGGAGGCGTTTCTGTTCTCCTCCCTTCTTCCCTCTTCCTTCTCTCTCTCTCAGTCTGTTCTGGACAATGTGAGACACACGTCACGGGACAAGGGTGATCAGGGTGCAGGGGGAGGGCGCAAGAGCAAAAGCACTTCCCTCTCCCGTCTTTCTCTCCCGAGGCCTCCTCTGCCCACCCTGAGATCCCGAGGTTCCCACCAGTATTTTTCAGGTTATAAAGGTGCGCAGGCCCAGAAATGGTAATGGAAGGAAGGCGACACCCCATGACTATGTGCACATGTGCTTTGGTACGTGCTCGGTCAGATTTTGTTCTGTGAATCCTTCATTTTACATGGTGAAGACCACATGTATATATATTTTGGTATCTTTCTCTTTTAAATGAACATCAGATAGCATTAACAATTATTTAAAAAAACATTGTATTTACTTATATATTTTAGAGAGAGGGGAAGGGCGGGAGAAGGAGAGAGAGAGAGAAACGTGGATGTGAGAGAGAAACATCAGTTGGTTGCCTCTCGCATTCACCCTGACGTGGGACCAGACCCATGACCCAGACACGCACCCCGACCGGGAATCGAACCAGAGACCTCTTGTCCTGAGAAACCACACCCAACCGACTGAGCCACTGGTCAGGGCGGCATCAACGTCCTTGCAGGACACTGACAACTCTGCACAAGTATTATGCTCAACAGCTCCATGAGTGTCCTTGTCCTACAACAGCTTATTCTTTATATAAACAACGCAATCACTAAGGACATGTTCAGGGTTCCCGCTGTTTTGCTGGGACACATGGTGCTGCCACGAACTCAGTCCTTGCCCACATTTTGGATTCACTGCAATTCCTGGGTGAAATGTGATGAATAAGACTCTGGACTCGCCTCGTTTCCCCTTCCTTCTACAAAAACCAGGTCTCACTGCATGTTTTCCAGACTGAGGCTTGTGTGTGTGTGTGTGTGTGTTGTCTTTATAGGTTTTTGCTAATTTTATGGTTTTATTAGGACATAGTATATGTTTTCATAAGACTGAAAATGGTAAAGTCAAATACAGCCATAAGTCATGCATGTCTATTTTTCTTTATTTTTGTAGTTGACACCAGGACAGATGCCTACATTTCCCCCTTCTGGCCTCCCTTCCCAGCCCCCGCCCTGTCTTCTCTCTCTGCTCTTGACCAGTCGGGGTGTCTTCATTTCTGTCAATTTGCTTTCAGGGCGTAGGGATGGGGAGATGGGAGTATGGAGAGATTAAGAATTAGTTTGTATGGTATCGTATATCCATTTGCGGTACCTGCACACGCGGGTGAACAGAACTGGTTCAGATTGCGGCAGGCACGGGGAGTATCCGGAGGACACCAGGCCCTGCAGCATGCCGTTGCACATCAGGGGGCTCCCCGAGTCACCCTGGAGGGGAGAGAGGAGATGACCTTTGGCCTCAAAGCAAGCAGCACTGAGGCTTCATACACGTGGTTATCAAGTCTGTCGGCCAGATCAGAGCCTTCCACCCTGACCAATGGGAAGAGGTTCATTATCTCTGTGGACCAATGGGAGAGCAGGAATTAATATTGCCGTGGAAAGGAGACACCAGGTTATCTGAAGACATTGGCTTGAACCCCGGCCAATGGGGCCAATCACAGGGAGGGGGTGGGGCCGCTGGGAAGTCAGCTCAGATTCATTATTTTTTTCCTTCCCTCTGAACATCTCTGTCAACCGCCTGCCCCCCACCCCGGGGAGAAGGTTCATCATCCTCAGAGAATCTGAAACATTTCCCCACCCAGGGATGGAGGACAGGGTCGTCAGGGACACCAAGGTCAGGACTAACGCCCTCATTCACAGGGAGCCATGGGAAATACAAGTGCGGACCCCCCGCTTCAAGCACACGCCGGTTCAGACGGCAAGAGGAGCGCGTTGGACCAGGTGTGGGCCTGTCCCGAGGGTGGGGCGCTGGGTCCCAGCACAGCTTGCACAGTAGTGAGCTCGGCCCCCAGTGGGGTAGGGGACCCCCTGATGCTGAGAACACCCCCATCAACCTGTCCCATCAACCGTCCAACACACTCCATTTCACCCCCGCCCCGGAAAGTTCCCAGCGCCGACAGCTAAGAGGCAAAGATGGGACAGAGAGAGAGAGAGACCCAACACAGAGCGGACCCGGAGAAAATGAGGAAATGGAGTGAGGCGTGAAGAGCAACGAGGGAAGGAAATTCTGAGGGTTACAGAGGGGGCGACAGAGATGATGAAAGGGGTCAGAGAACAGGGGGCGGCGTGTACTCATTCTTGGTCCAGATCTAGAACCAGGAACAAAGATGCGTGATCGGGACATTAGCCTCAGGCACCTCCAAGTGACTGCAGTGAGCATATTCAAATGCACCCCTTAAACATCAAATTCCATATGGAAAAATCCATCACAAACCTATTTGACGTTTAGATAAACACAGGGTCAGTCTGTGCTGCGCCGAATCGTAGAGGACCTCAAGGAAACTGGAGAATCCAGTCAGCTCTGATCGTTTTATGTGGAGAATTTTGATATTGTGTTCATCATGGATTTTTATTTATTTATTTTTTTTGGCATGGGGAATTTTCAAACTATTTCACTGGAATGGGATTTGTTTTGGACACTGAGCGCTCGGTGCCCCTAAGAGCTCGTGCTTGTAGCCGGCGCCTCACTCCTTCCCTAGTCCGGCCCATTCTCCCACCTCCAGGCTCTAACCCTGAACACTGTGCCCGCCCAGGGCACGCCGGCCCCTGCGCTCCCTCTCTGCGCGGGACAGAGGCCGAGTGGAGAGGACAGGGAGGCGAGACTGGCCAGGGGGGAGGGACGGCTCGGCACCAGGGTCAGGCCCCCGACCCTGGGGGGAGGGAAGCTGGGGCTCCGGGCTGCAAGGAAGCGGGGCGCAGGGCTGGCGAGGAGAGACTCACTCTGCAGGTGTGGGAGCCTCTGTCAGGGTCGGCCACGCACATGGTGTGTCTTCCCAACACGACATCGTAAAGCTTTTTGCAGCTGTTGTTGGAAATGATTTTGACATCCGAGCACATGAGGTGTAATGGATTGAACCCTGTTGGGGAAGTTGGGGGACAGTCAGAGGCTTGGTCCACTGGATACTGAATACTGGTAACCTGATGCTGTGGTCATGAAAAGGGACCTGTCTCTTCGACTGCTGATTCGGAGGCAGGAGGGGGCTTGTGTTTGAACTCCTGGGACCGAGGGTGGAAGGGCCTGAGGGCCTGGACACCTGGGTCTGTGGGACCAAGGTCTGGGGTCCAAGGACCCTGGGTCTAGGGGGGACATCCTGCGGGGCAGGGCTTCCGGGTCTGATGGCGGAGGGCCTGGACGCCCGGGTGTCTGGTCTGAAGGAGGAGGGGCTCTGGAGCCAGGGATCGTGGGTCTGTTACGTGTCTCCAGAATCCGAGGGCAAAGGGAGCAGGGCCTGGGTTGCTTGGTTGCAGGGGCAGCCTCACCTGCGGTTTCGGAGGTGAGGCCCCAGCCAGACACGGTGCAGCTGGTCCCAGGGCGGTGGCAGCTGGAGGGCACCTCCACAGTGCTCACGGTGGGCGAGAGCGGGGCTGGGCGGAAGAGCTTCACAAGCATGATGTCATGGTCAAGGGTGAGATGGTTGTACAGGGGGTGGATGAACGATGCTGTCGCCTTGATCTCCTCGAGATCCACATCGAGCAGAAGATCACTGCCCATTTGCACGACGTACTCGCTTTGGAAAGGAAAAGAAAAGCAACATTCGGAGGGAGACTCTGACTGAGAGACAAGGGCAAACCCCAGAGACAACGGGACAGAAACTGAGAACTGGCCGGTCAGAGGTGCAGTGAGAGACGTAGACAAGAACCCAAAGAGAAAAAAAGGGGTCGCATGGCTCCCCTCCACGTACCTCATGTGGCAGTGGGCGACAGTGAGCACCCACTGCTTGTGGACCAGCACGCCCGAACACTGGAACTCATGGTCAAAAAACAGGGCCACCTGCCAGGGATGGGAGCCCCCTCGACAAGGATATCCATTAATAATCCTTTCCCTGGTGTTGTTGGCTGGATGGAGACACAGAGAAAGCACGGTAGCAGGCACCAGGGGAAACTGAGGCCACAGGGCTGGATTCCAAGAGACAGCGATGGAGAGAAAGACAGACAGACAGACAGACAGAGAGACATGGAGAAGGGCAGAGGCAGGGGCTGAGCACAGGGCAGAGGCCGCTGCAGGCAGAGGCGGAGGGAGCCTGCTCAGGACCCAGGGGAGCATCTGGGCAGGAGGCGACCCCAGGGGCTGATGGGAGACACTGAGGGCAGGAGGCAGTGTGGGGGCACGGAGACCCCAGGAGTGAGAAGGAAGGAGGAGGAAAGGGCCCCAGCAGGAGGGTCCTGTCTGCTTGGGAGGAAGCGGCTGCAGGGGGCGGTGCCCTGGCTCAGGGAAACCATGGGGAGAGGGGGCCCTGGGGAGAGAATGCGGGGACAGTGTGAGGCTCAGGGGCAAGGTCGGGCCTCCCAGGGCGGCCCCACCTTCTAGCCCAGCAGATCCCAGGGCGAAGGACAGCAGCAGGGTCAGCAGGACTGAGAGACGGGGACCGGCCATGGGGCTGCTCTGAGCCTCCGGGGGCTGCCACGCGGAGGACGCGTGTGTTCTGCTGGGGCTGCAAAGACAAAGAGGTCAGGAAGCAGAGGTCCTGGTCCCCAGGCCCCTCTGCTCCCTCCGACCCGGGAGCCCTGGTCTGCACGCCCCTCCTTCCTCAGCCTCCGAGGTCCAGGCTGGGGACTCCCTTCCACTCAGACCCTAGGGATCGGACGTTCTCTCCCTCCCCATTTATAATTCTATATCAGGGTTCTTTTTAAGCACAAGACCAGAGAACGGCAGACCTGAGCCCCCGCTTCTCACAACCAGGAGTTTCAGCCCCTGCGGCCCTCCCCTTAGGAGCAAGAGTCAGCTGTGCATCCAGATGCACCTCCCCACCCAAAACGCGAGGTCTTCTCACCTGCGGTGGATCTGACCTGACCTGGTCCTCAGAGGAGGTCTGATTCCACTGTGTCCAGCCCTGTGCTGTCAGCTTCTCTTATAGTGCACCCGCCGCTGTGCCCGGGGTCCTGGAATGCTCACCTGGAACCCCTGAGGCCGCTGAACCCGCAGGCCCGCATTCTACCCTCACCCTCACTTCTGAGGCCCGGGCAGGGCCGTCCCCTGGGGGTTTGGCCCCAGCTCATTCTACCTCCCCCCGGTGGCCCAGGGACCAGGGGCTGGCGCCAAGGGGCTGAGCAGGCATCAGGGACCCGCCGTGCTCAGGAAGGGACTGTGTCCTGGGGCCTCTGCTTTGGTCTTTTTTTTTTTTGGTCCTCATTCCCTCTCCTGCGTGGTCTGGACCCAACACCCGACCCTGGTCAGCCTGTAGGACCATTTCCAGGCCGAACTCCAGATGTGTCTTTGAGGCCGACCCCACCCCTACACTGATACAGGGTACAAATCTCATAGAAGGCTCTCCTCACTCCAGCCACGAAATGTTCACCGCTTCACTTCGATTTTTAACACATGTATTTGTTATGAAAATGTAGTACATTTTATCACAGATAACATTTTATTTACTCTATAGAAGTTCTAAACATTTATTCCTCTTGGTACATTTAGATCATTTCTCCTTCTTTGATATTGTGCTATAATATTCTACACTACAGTTTTCCCCTGATTTTAGTGACCTTGTCCCCTTTGAAGAGGGTTGGAATCACTTTGATCGTAACAACAATGGCAGGCATGCCTTTGAACGTTCATCTCTGTGCATTGCATTCATTCCAGTCATACCCACTGAGTGTCTGCTCTGAGCCAGAATCTGTCCTACCCCCGAGGACACAGCATCACCAAAACAGCCAAAACCCCCTCACAGAAGCTCTTGTCCCAGGGAGTGGAGAACTTGAATAAAGAAACGGCAGCTCCAGATTTGGTTTCCATGAGGCCATAAGTGCAATGGAGGAAAGCAGACCAGGAGCAGGGACAGGGTGCTGCTGGTGTCCCTCTTCCTCAGGAGCCTTGTGGCTATTACATTAGGCAAGATGGTTGGAATGACTCCATGTGAAGAGCACATCTAAACAGAATGCAGAGGGAGGGAGTGGGAGGACACATGGGGCTCCTTGGGATCAGCGAATCCTAAGCAGAGTGAGCACCAAAATATGTTTCACTCCTGAATGGGAGTCCACTTTTTATATCTCAATTCTGACCTCTAATACAGTTCTCTCTCTCTCTCTCCCATAATTTGGCCCCAGAGTAGACACTCCTGTTGCCTACCCAGGCATTTATTTGGTCCTTCTGCCATTTGTCAGAACCTGGATTTCGTTTGGATAATCTGCTCTCCTCAATGAGTGCAGAGGAGCTTTACCGCCCCAAAGATAGAGCCATATTCTGCTTTGCAGGGATTGGTTTAGAAGTGGACATGTGATGCAGTGCGGACCAATGAAGAGTGAGCGATCAGCCCTGGGTTAGTTCTGGGAAGTTCTTCTTGCTTCCATCGTGGGACACAGGAGGAGTTCTCATCCTCCTTTTGGATGGCGTCCCTTGTGGATGTAATTTCTGGAAGCGAGGCAGCCCTCCTGGAAGCAGGGAGGAAAGTCTCCCTTAGACAAAGCCGTAGCCCCGCAGACAGACAGACAGACAGACAGAGAGATGGCGGTGGTCTGGGTCACGGTGAGGTCGCTGAGCTGGTGAATTAAAGCTCCATGGAGCCCCTTCCTCTCATGTCATCTGCTGGTCTGTGTTCTGGTTTGACTTCTTTTCTGTTCTCACACCTAAGTTCTTTTTACTGAGACCTCTTAACGTTGAGTCCAAATTTCATATCCAGTTGAGTATTCAATCCCAAACCATAAATCAAAGTCTCATTCTAACTAGAACCTCCACGTGGATCCAAAGTAACAAATTATCCCAACCCTGCCTGCAGTTGTGGCTCTTTCTCCAGTTCTCCTCCCACAGCCCCTTCCAGACTCATCATTTACACACTTAGAAAATACACGCTGAGGTCAGCTGTGTCCCGGGCTGGGCTCGGGGCTGAGGACACAGGGGAGCACAGACCCGGACCCTCACAGTTCCTCTCTCCCAGGAACAGAGTCAAGTGGAATAGGAAAAGTAGTCACATCCGTGATGTACAAATGTCAACTCACAGCCTCGATGTGCGCTCTGCAGTACAGGTGCAGAGGATTGCGAGAGCCCTTCCAGGTGGCTTTGACCCAGGGAGGAACAAGGACCTGAGAGTGGGAAGGGCTGTGAGCACGGAAGGCCTGGGAGAAAAGGAAGGGGCCTGGCGAGTGTCAGGTGGAGCAAACAGCAGGTGCAAACGTCGTGGGATGGAACGCGGTCGCGATGGAGCTCGGAGAAGGAGGTTGTCCGGAACCAGACAGTGAAGCCCATGGAAGGTCACGGCGAGGTAGCCTTTCCTGATGCACAATAAGGAACCACTGGCCTCATTCCGGGCATGGACATAAAACCTTTGTTATCGGAAAACATCAGTCCGGCTGCTCTGTGAAGGAAGATCAGAAGTGGTGTGGAGTCCCGAGGGACCGATGCTGTTGTCCAGGGGAGAGATGAGGGTGACGCGGGGGAGGCCATTTGGGAGGTGGAGACGGTAGTTGGTGGATGGACTCGAGGAGCATTTAGGGGAGAAAACCAACAGACCACGGCAATGGGCGGAACGGCGCTAGTGGTGAGGGAGTTGGTGGGTGGGACTTCCGGCTCTCTCGCTTGATGGGCGGTGTTGCCGTGCAACGGGCAGGCCCGGTGGGATTAATCGAGAGCTCAAGAGAAGGTGAGCATGATGGCGGTCCCTGAATTCAAGCGTAAGTCCAGCTCCAATGTTTGATTTGACAGAATTCTCCACTGCAACCTCAACAGAAGCCCAGGATTTAACCCGTGACCTCAATCTGAACTACACCTAAACCCCAATACTGCTTTATTCTTGACTAAATCCAATTTATTCCCCAATGTGGTATCTACTTCCTGAACAAGCTCCTGACTTTGAATATCAACTCAAGCTACATCTCACACCCCAGCCAATTTGAATGAACCCTGACTCTTGACTTGAACCCTGAAACCATAGTCATAAACTGCACTAAACCTTGTCCCACACCCTAGATGTTCCCATGGAGTATCCCAAACCAGACCCCTGGCATGACTCAGGCTTCTCTCTGCCTCCCTGTCCCAGCCCAGGACGTCCACGTTGACATCCTCACCCTGCAACCACCTCCCGGCCACAGCTGACACCAGTCCTAGCTCTCCCATTCCCAATCCCAGCCCTACGCGGCTTTCCAGCTCGCTCTCTACCTGCAATTCTAACCTCTTTGGCATTCCCAACTGTTTCCTGCACCCTTTGGTCAACGCTACACACCATCTTGACTCTTCCCTTCACAAAATCTTTAATACAGTTTAGTGGATTACAACATAGTAATGTTGACACAATATTGAGTACACAAATCCAAGCCAAGCCCTCCAAACTGCATCTCAAGACAAATGGGCGGATTGATTGAAATGATAAAAGCAAAATGGATGCGCAGTAGCTGGAACTGAAGAAATATTACTGCCTTCCACATCACGCGGAGAAGACAGCACCTTCCACTTCTATGTGTTGTGCGGTGTGTCAGACACTTGCAAGAACTTGTCATTATTCCTCACCTAGATTCATGCGAGTATTGCCTTCCTTGTGTTTGTAGAGGAGAAAAAGGAGATTTAAAATAGGTGAGGTCTCTTGAGAGAAGTCATCTCGCTCAGGAGTCAGAAGAGACAGCGTTTGAAAGCCAGGGGCTGCTGAGGGTCTCACCATTGCACAAGCCTCCGCTCTGCAAAGGAAGGAGTCCTGAGTCTCCCATTCGGCCAGATTCTAGGTTGGCTGGACAAACTCAGGACCCCGTGAGTCTATTCATAATGCAACCTCCATGGTTGACAATGTTCCCAATTGCCAGTCCTGACATGACCTTCACTTTAGTCCCTGACTCCTTCCTCAATCCCATCCAGACCCCCTGACCTTTACGACCCGTGCCCTCAAATCTACCTTCTGAACCTACGTGGTAGGACGGATGTTCTAGCTCATGGTCACACCTGAGAACTGGACTCTAACTGTCCTGCCAGCTGTGCCTTGGGTGGGGGGATTCCAGGGACAATGACCCCGGAATCTCTGGATGCGTCACCTTGGATTTGAAGACTAACTGTTTCTGAGCTATTGGACTCACTTCTTCCTTCCTTAGAGACATCTCCCCACTTAGGAACCTACACCCTCATGTGTTTTGGTGTAACAGACATTCTACCTCCTTAAGATGACCCCAACATTCCTGACTGTTATAATTTTTATGAATATCGGGGTCAAGTCTTGATGTGAGATGTTAACTACATCACATGCCCTGTAATAGAAACACGTTCTCTGCATCTGACTTTCTATCCAATCTTAACGATACCTTGGCTTTCTTTGTAAAACTCCCACGAGAGGACAATCACAAGTCCCAGCAGAGATTTCCGCCTCCAGACCCGTAGAGAGGAGCTGAGAGGCAGGGCCGGGCATCTCCAGCCAGACTCTGTGCGGCTGCCATGCTTTGCTACGTTTGACCATTGTAGATGGAACACTGACGTGGAGTAGCATGTGGGAGAGAAGGGAAGGTGACAGAGCTCCGTGGGGGTCGGGGGCCAAAACCCCAGGCATTTTTTTAACCTGTCAGTGACCCAGAGAAAGGGCGAGGCTAGGGGTCTGGGCTTTGTCTGTAAGGCAGGAGGCGCCTGGGGCTTTCCATTTCGGGCCTAAGGGAGGAGGGGCGTGGGGCCAGAATCCCGGGCCTGAGAAAGCGAGGGGTCTGGGTGCTCAGACTTCCAGGTGTGAGCGGAGGCCGCGGGCCTAGGCTTTGGGTCTGAGGAAGGGAGTGTGGGCGCCTTGGCCGCTGCGTGTTGTGGGAGGAGGGGGCTCGGTGTCCTCTGCGCAGAATATTGGCGTCCGCGCGATTTCTGCCACGGGGGCGTCTTTAGTTGGGGATGAAGGGAGACTCAAAAGAGGGGTGGGATGAGGACAAGGAAGATTGGGAGGCAGTCGGTCAGAAGGACCTCTGGGAGGAAGCCCGCCGTGGCGGTGGAGCGGGGTGGGTCTGGGGTGGAGAAGCCGCCTGTGAGCAGGGCCTCACTGCCAGGAGCCGGGGGCCAGGGCTCCGGAGACCTTGTCATGCCCCGAGACACAGGCGCCCCCTTCCTCCTCCCTCCTCCTTCCAGAGCCCCCTGCCCGCATTGTGTGAGGACAGTCGCCCACCCTCACACAAAGGGTTCCCAGCCCCATTGGCCTCTCCTACTCCAGACTCTGGGTGCTCACGTGAGCAGGCCCTCGTTGGGGCCCTGTGTCCTGCCCACGGGCCGGCACTAACCATCCTGCAAACCTCCTCCCGCCGTCTGAGTTTGGCACCTGTGAAATGCCCAGAGGCTCTCTCCCATCCCTTTGCCACGTACGAAGGAGGCGTTTCTGTTCTCCTCCCTTCTTCCCTCTTCCTTCTCTCTCTCTCAGTCTGTTCTGGACAATGTGAGACACACGTCACTGGACAAGGGTGATCAGGGTGCAGGGTGAGGGCTCAAGAGCAAAAGCACTTCCCTCTCCCGTCTTTCTCTCCCGAGGCCTCCTCTGCCCACCCTGAGATCCCGAGGTTCCCACCAGTATTTTTCAGGTTATAAAGGTGCGCAGGCCCAGAAATGGTGATGGAAGGAAGGCGACACCCCATGACTATGTGCACATGTGCTTTGGTACGTGCTCTGTCAGATTTTGTTTTGTGAATCCATTTTACATGGTGAGGACAGCGTGCATATACAATTTGGTATGTTAATAGCATAAACAGTCATGTTTTTCAAAAACATTTTACTTATGTATTTTAGAGAGGGTACGGGGGGAGAAGGAGAGAGAGAGAGAGAATCATCAATTGTTGGCCTCTCGCATTCACCCTGACGTGGGACCAGACCCACACCCCAGACACACACCCCGACCGGGAATCGAACCAGAGACCTCTTGTTCCGAGAAACAACGCCCAACCGACTGAGCCACCGGTCAGGGCGGCATCAATGTCTTTGCAGGACACTGACAACTCTGCGCAAATATTATCCTCAACAGCTCCATGAGTGTCTCTGTCCTACAACAGTTTGTTGTTTACATAAACCACCCAATAACTTGGGACATGTTCAGGGTTCCCGCTGTTTTGCTGGGACACATGGTGCTGCCACGAACTCAGTCCTTGCCCACATTTTGGATTCACTGCAATTCCTGGGTGAAATGTGATGAATAAGACTCTGGACTCGCCTCGTTTCCCCTTCCTTCTATAAAAATCAGGTCTCACTGCATGTTTTCCAGACTGAGGCTTGGGTGTGTGTGTTGTCTTTATAGGTTTTTGCTAATTTTATGGTTTAAGTTTTCATATGACTTTCAAATGGTAAAGTCAAATACAGCCATAAGTCATGCATGTCTATTTTTCTTTATTTTTGTAGTTGACACCAGGACAGATGCCTACATTTCCCCCTTCTGACTTCCCTTCCCAGCCCCCGCCCTGCCTTCTCTCTCTGCTCTTGACCAGTCGGGTGTCTTCATTTCTGTGAATTTGCTTTCAGGGCGTAGGGATGGGGAGATGGGAGCATGGAGAGGTTAAGAATTAGTTCGTATGGTAGCGTATATCCATCTGTGGTACTTGCACACACGGGTGAACAGAACTGGTTGAAATTGAGGACGGCACGGGGAGTATCCGGAGGTGACCAGGCCTTGCAGCATGTCGTTGCACATCAGGGGGCTCCCCGAGTCACCCTGGAGGGGAGAGAGCCACGTTAGTTTTGGTCTCGAGAAACCAGGTTGAGGCCTCATACACCTTGTGGTTATCAAGTCCTTGGTCTTGCCAGACCACAGCCTTCCACTGGCCAATGGGGAGAGACTCATTGTCTCTGTGGACCAATGGGAGAGCAGGAATTAATGTTGCCATGGAAAGGAGACACCAGGTTTTCTGAAGACATTGGCTTGAACCCCGGCCAATGGGGCCAATCACAGGGAGGGGGTGGGGCTATTAAGGATGTCAGAGCGCCTATTTTTTTTTTTTTTTTTAATAAACCCTGAACAAGCCTGTCAACTGCCAGCCTGGGGTGAAGGTTCATCATCCTCAGAGAATCTGAAACATTTCCCCACCCAGGGATGGAGGACAGGGTCGTCAGGGACACCAAGCTCAGGACTAACGCCCTCATTCACAGGGAGCCATGGGAAATACAAGTGCGGACCCCCCGCTTCAAGCACACGCCGGTTCAGACGGCAAGAGGAGCGCGTTGGACCAGGTGTGGGCCTGTCCCGAGGGTGGGGCGCTGGGTCCCAGCACAGCTTGCACAGTAGTGAGCTCGGCCCCCAGTGGGGTAGGGGACCCCCTGATGCTGAGAACACACCCATCAACCTGTCCCATCAACCGTCCAACGCACTCCATTTCCCTGCCCCGGAAAGTTCCCAGCGCCGACGCTAAGAGGCAAAGATGACAGAGAGAGAGAGAGACCCAACACAGAGCGGACCGGGAGAAAATGAGGAAATGGAGTGAGGCGTGAAGAGCAATGAGGGAAGGAAATTCTGAGGGTTACAGAGGGGGCGACAGAGATGATGAAAGGGGTCAGAGAACAGGGGGCGGCGTGTCTCATTCTTGGTCCAGATCTAGAACCAGGAACAAAGATGCGTGATCGGGACATTAGCCTCAGGCACCTCCAAGTGACTGCAGTGAGCATTCAAATGCACCCCTTAAACATCAAATTCCATATGGAAAAATCCATCACAAACCTATTTGACGTTTAGATAAACACAGGGTCAGTCTGTGCTGCGCCGAATCGTAGAGGACCTCAAGGAAACTGGAGAATCCAGTCAGCTCTGATCGTTTTAAGTGGAGAATTTTGATATTGTGTTCATCATGGATTTTTATTTATTTATTTTTTTGGGCATGGGGAATTTTCAAACTATTTCACTGGAATGGGATTTGTTTTGGACACTGAGCGCTCGGTGCCCCTAAGAGCTCGTGCTTGTAGCCGGCGCCTCACTCCTTCCCTAGTCCGGCCCATTCTCCCACCTCCAGCCTCTAACCCTGAACACTGTGCCCGCCCAGGGCACGCCGGCCCCTGCGCTCCCTCTCTGCGCGGGACAGAGGCCGAGTGGAGAGGACAGGGAGGCGAGACTGGCCAGGGGGGAGGGACGGCTCGGCACCAGGGTCCGGCCCCCGACCCTGGGGGGAAGGAAGCTGGGGCTCCGGGCTGCGAGGAAGCGGGGCGCAGGGCCGGCGAGGAGGGACTCACTCTGCAGGTGTGGGAGCCTCTGTCAGGGTCGGCCACGCACATGGTGTGTCTTCCCAACACGACATTGTAAAGCTTTTTGCAGCAGTTGGTGGAAATGATTTTGACGTCCGAGCACATGAGGTGTAATGGATTGAACCCTGTTGGGGAAGTTGGGGGACAGTCAGAGGCTTGTTCCAGGGACCCCTGGTTACTGATGTAAAGAATAGGGGCCCTGGATATTCAAAAAGGCAGGACTGGGTGACTCGATACGCTGGTTATGAAAGGGACCTGTCTCTCTGACTGCTGGTTCAGATGCAGGAGGGGGCTTGCGTTTGATCTCCTGGGACCGAGGGTGGAAGGGCCTGAGGGCTTGGACCCCTGGTTCTGTGGGAGGAGGTTCCAGGGAGCAAGTCTGGAGCATTTGTGGGGCATGGAAGCTGGGCCCTCCATACCCAGGTCTCTAACCTTCTGGGTCGGTGGGTCCGAGGCCTGGGTTCCCAGGACCCTGGGTCTAGAAGGGATGTCCTGCAGGGCAGGGCTTCCGGGTCTGATGGCGGAGGGCCTGGACGCCCGGGTGTCTGGTCTGAAGGAGGAGGCTCAGGGCCTGGGATCGTGGGTCTGTTACCTGTCTCCTGGATCTGAGGGCACAGGGAGCAGGGCCTGGGCTGCTTGGTCACAGGAGCAGCCTCACCTGAATCATAGGAGGTGAGGCCCCAGCCGGAAATGGTGCAGTTGGTGTCTGGGGGTTCGCAGTAGCAGGGCACGTGGAGAGTGCTCACGGTTGGCGAGAGCGGGGCTGGGCGGCTCAGCTTCACAAGCATGATGTCATTGGCAAGTGTGACATTGTTGTACAGGGGGTGGATGAACGACTCTGTTGCTTTGATCTCCTGGAGATTCACATCGAGTAGAAGATCACTGCCCATTTGCACGACGTACTCGCTTTGACAAAGTAAAAGAAGCAACATTCAGAGGGAGATACTATGATTAAAAGACAAGGGCAAACCCCAGAGACAATGGGACAGAGACTGAGAACTAGCAGGTCAGAGGTCCAGTGAGACACGTAGACAAGAACCCAAAGAGAAAAGAGGTCCCCGTGGCTCCCCTCCACGTACCTCATGTGGCAGTGGGCGACAGTGAGCACCCACTGCTTGTGGACCAGCACGCCCGAACACTGGAACTCATGGTCAAAAAACAGGGCCACCTGCCAGGGCTGGTTGCCTCCTGGACAAGTATATCCATTAACAATCCTTTCCCCGGTGTTGTTGGCTGGATGGAGACACGGAGAAAGCATGGGTAGAAGGCATCAGGGGAAACTGAGGCCACAGGGCTGGATTCCCAGAGACAGCGATGGAGAGACAGACAGACAGACAGACAGACAGAGGGACGTGGAGAAGGGCAGAGGCAGGGGCTGAGCACAGGGCAGAGGCCGCTGCAGGCAGAGGCGGAGGGAGCCTGCTCAGGACCCAGGGGAGCGTCTGGGCAGGAGGCGACCCCAGGGGCTGATGGGAGACACTGAGGGCAGGAGGCAGCGTGGGGGGCATGGAGACCCCAGGAGTGAGAAGGAAGCAGGAGGAAAGGGCCCCAGCAGGAGGGTCCTGTCTGCTTGGGAGGAAGCGGCTGCAGGGGTGGGGCCCTTACAGTGACTTTTTGGACAGAGACGGTGGGGACAGTGTGAGACTCAGGGGCAAGGACAGACCTCTCAGGGCAGCCCCACATTTCAGCCCAGCAGATCCCAGGGCGAAGGACAGCAGCAGGGTCAGCAGAAGTGAGAGACGGGGACCGGCCATGGGGCCGCTCTGAGCCTCCGGGGGCGGCCACGCGGAGGACGCGCGTGTTCTGCTGGGTCTGCAAAGACAAAGAGGTCAGGAAGCAGGGGTCCAGGTCCCCAGGCCCCTCTGCTCCCTCGGACCCAGGAGTCCTGGTCTGCACCCTCCTCATTCTTATAGCGCTGAAGTCCAAATCTGAGACCCCCTTCTCTCGGAACCTAGAGATAGGGTGCTCTCCCCCTCCCCATTTATAATTCTATATCCAGAGTTCTTTTTAAGTTCCAGACCGGAAGATGCCAGACCTGCAGCCCCCGCTTCTCAAACCAGGAGTTTCAGCCCCTGCGGCCCTCTCCTTAGGAGCAAGAGTCAGCTGCGCATCCAGATGCACCTTCCCACCCAAAGCGCAAGGCCTTCTCACCTGCGGTGGGTCTGACCTGACCTGGTCCTCAGAGGAGATTGGATTCCACCGTGTCCAGCCCTGCACAGAGGGTCCCTATATAGCGCACCCACCGCTGTGCCCAGGTCCTGGAGTGCCTATGCATTCCGCATTGGGCACCCCTCCCTGCATTTGCTCTCACCTGGAACCCCTGAGGCCGCTGAACCCACAGGCCCGCATTCTACCCTCACCCTCACTTCTGAGGCCCAGGCAGGGCCGTCCCCTGGGGTTTTGGCCCCAGCTCATTCTACCTCCCCCCGGTGGCCCAGGGACCAGGGGCTGGCGCCAAGGGGCTGAGCAGGCGTCAGGGACCTGCTGCGCTCAGGAAGGGACTGTGTCCTGGGGCCTCTGCCTTGGTCTTTTTTTTTTTTTTTTTTTTTGGTCCTCATTCCCTCTCCTGCGTGGTCTGGACCCAACACCCGACCCTGGTCAGCCTGTAGGACCATTTCCAGGCCGAACTCCAGATGTGTCTTTGAGGCCAACCCCACCCCTACACTGATACAGGGTTGGAATCTCATAGAAGGCTCTCTTCACTCCAGTCACGAAATGTTCACCGCTTCACTTCGATTTTTAAACATATTATGTATTTGTTAAGAAAATGTCTGTGCTAAATATATCTCACATCACCTTTTATTTACTCTATAAAAATCCTAAACCATTATTCCTCCTAGTACATTTAGATCATTTCTCCTTTGATATTGTGCTATAGTATTCTACACTACAGTTTTCCCCCGATTTTAGTGACCTCGTTCCCTTTGAAGAGGGTTGGAATCACTTTGATTGTAACAACAATGGCAGGCATTCCATTGAACGTTCATCTTTGTGCATTGCATTCATTCCAGTCATACCCACTGAGTGTCTGCTCTGAGCCAGAATCTGTCCTACCCCCGAGGACACAGCATCACCAAAAAGCCAAAACCCCCTCACAGAAGCTCTTGTCCCAGGGAGTGGAGAACTTGAATAAAGAAGCGGCAGCTCCAGATTTAGTTCCCATGAGGCCATAAGTGCAATGGAGGAAAGTAGACCAGGAGCAGGGACAGATTGCTGCTGTGTCCCTCTTCCTCGGGAGCCTTGTGGCTATTACATTAGGCAATATGGGCTCCTTGGGATCAGCGAATCCTAAGCAGAGTGAGCGCCAAAATATGTTTCATTCCTGAATGGGAGTCCACTTTTTATATCTCAATTCTGACCTCTAATACAGTTCTCTCTCTCTCTCTCCCATAATTTGGCCCCAGAGTAGACACTCCTGTTGCCTACCCAGGCATTTATTTGGTCCTTCTGCCATTTGTCAGAACCTGGATTTCGTTTGGATAATCTGCTCTCCTCAATGAGTGCAGAGGAGCTTTACCGCCCCAAAGAGAGAGCCATATTCTGCTTTGCAGGGATTGGTTTAGAAGTGGACATGTGATGCAGTGCGGACCTTGAAGAGTGAGCGATCAGCCCTGGGTTAGTTCTGGGAAGTTCTTCTTGCTTCCATCGTGGGACACAGGAGGAGTTCTCATCCTTCTTTTGGATGGCGTCCCTTGTGGATGTAAATTCTTGAAGCGAGGCAGCCCTCCTGGAAGCAGGGAGCAAAGTCTCCCTTAGACAAAGCCGTAGCCCCGCAGACAGACAGACAGACAGACAGAGAGATGGCAGCGGTCTGGGTCACGGTGAGGTCGCTGAGCTGGTGAATTAACGCTCCATGGAGCCCCTTCCTCTCATGTCATCTGCTGGTCTGTGTTCTGGTTTGACTTCTTTTTTGTTCTCACACCTATCAAGTTGAAAATTTAATCCCAAACCATAAACCAAAGTCTCATTCTAACTAGAACCTCCACGTGGAACCAAAGTAACAAAAATCCCAACGCTGCCTGCAGTCGTGGCTCTTTCTCCAGTTCTCCTCCCACAGCCCCTTCCAGACTCATCATTTACACACTTAGAAAATACACGCTGAGGTCAGCTATGTCCCGGGCTGGGCTCGGGGCTGAGGACACAGGGGAACACAGACCCAGACCCTCACAGTTCCTCTCTCCCAGGAACAGAGTCAAGTGTAATAGGAAAAGTAGTCACATCCGTGATGTACAAATGTCAACTCACAGCCTCGATGTGCGCTCTGCAGTACAGGTGCAGAGGATTGCGAGAGCCCTTCCAGGTGGCTTTGACCCAGGGAGGAACAAGGACCTGAGAGTGGGAAGGGCTGTGAGCACGGAAGGCCTGGGAGAAAAGGAAGGGGCCTGGCGAGTGTCAGGTGGGGCAAACAGCAGGTGCAAACGTTGTGGGATGGAATGCGGGCGCCGGGAGCTCAGAGAAGGAGGTTGTCCGGAACCAGACAGTGAAGCCCATGGAAGGTCACGGGGAGGTGGTCTCTCCTTATGCACAGTCCACTCTGCTTCTGAATTCCAGGTTCACCTTGGACAAGTCTCTTCCCCTCCATGTCATCAGCCACTCAAAATTTTAATACTAGAAATTAACCTCTCTGTGTACTGGGACATAATAGGATATCTAAGGGTAGTGAGGAAAATCCTGGCTAATGAAAGAAGAGGATGGTGCCCTGAGGGTCCAATGCAGAGAGGAGACCGTGGGGACTGAGCTGGTAAGTCTTCCTTCCTGGCCTCTGGTGAGGAGAGCATTGAATCCATTTACCTAACATCGGAGAATTGGGTAGTGTTCTACACACACACACACACACACACGCACACGCACGCACGCACGCACGCACGCACGCACACAATGATGGGAAACTCTGAGGAAAGAAAGCAATGTCTCTAGGAACTATCCAGACACACTGGCCCTCAGGGCAGGAGCACTGAAAGAATGACAGTGACCCTGGCCAATGGGGAGGAGCGCACTAGAGCATCGTCTTCAGGGACCAATCATTGACAAAGGGGGGCGGGGCTTCCATGAAGGAGACGAAGCCAGGGAGGGCCCTGAGGACTGGAGGTGCAGCCAATGGGAGAGAGAGTGTTTTATCTGCGGGAAATCCCCAAATTTGTCATCCTGGGGATGGGGTGTCTTTGAGGCAGCAGCGAGGCGCGTGTCAGCGTTACTTGTACCACAGGAAGAGAGCACTACTCCCCCGAAAGCAATAGTAACAGGCAGCAGCGCTCGGAAACCCAATCACATGCCAAACAAAAGTGGCTGACTAGCCGGTCGATGGCAGAGTCAGCACAATTGTCGCAAACGGACACTCAGACAGGGAGAGGGAGGTCGTGTGCCTCTGGGACTTGCCCAGGGTAGTCGTCCTCCCACGGCCCGTGGGGAGAGTTCTACTTCCGCACGACCGAGGGCCGCTGAGGGGGCAGAGGTGTAAGTTCCCAGAGAGAGCAACCCTTCCCTCCACCCCCGTCCGCGTCTAACGCCCCTTCCGTGGGTCCGCAGTTGCCCGTGAGATTTCTGACACGTTTCTCGGGGCTCATCGCTTCTCACCCATCGAACAAAACTGTGGTCCCTGGTGTGTCCTTTTCCACCTGGAGGAGGACCGTTGGACCCTGCCTTTTGTGTCTTGCTCTGACGCATTTTCCCACGGAGAAGCGGGGAACTGGAGGGCTCGCAGGAGCCCTTTGTGACGCTCTGAGCCTTTCTCTCCAGTTTGAATAGAACCACGGCCGATCCCGAGGTTCTCAATCTCCGCTAAATCCTACTTTGGCCAAATGTCACTCCCTGCTAGAGGCCTTCTCTCCTGGTTCAGAATATAAGCCAGTTGTCTGTCACTTTCCATCTCTTTATCATTTACGATGTTTCATTATAGCACTTAACCTTGTATCTTGTTTATTTCATACGCACGTGTTCGTGTCCGGCTCCCCCACCTCACGTGCATCCCCACAGGAATCGGGCCTCATATGGTAGAGTCCTGGGCCCGTCAGATCCGTTCAAGAAAGTGTTGAATTAGTGACTGAAGGTGAGTTGACCTGTCTCATTGGCCTTTGAGCTACAGACCAGAGGGGTAAAAAGCCTGCCTGGCACTTTTATGAGCTGGAAGCTATATTATCCTCTCACCTCTCACGTCATCATCAGAACAGCTTTTTCTTGAGAGGGGGGGCTGGGTAACATTTTATTGATGGTGCCTGACAACACGGGGCCCCCGAAGCCCCCCATTTCTACATGAGCGGCTTGGTATATAAAACGCGGAGGTCAGGGCATTATCACTGGATTGACGGATAGATTTGGCCCAAGAGCTTACAAGTAACTGAGGGCCTGTCCTCCGCTCACTGGAGCTGGTGGTCCCGGGGGCTCTAAGCATTTGGATGCCGCATGGACCATATGATCCACCATCTTGTTCCTGTAGTCAAGTCCATGGTCATGCCGGGGAACGAGCGGGACACAAGGGTCACTGAGGACTTCGTCAGCTTCAGCACTGAAGATGGAAAATGCGGAGTCACTGGTAACGTCTGGGGGGCAGCCTGGTCCGCAGTCCAGGCCAGGACCCCCTTGGTGGGTTCCACAGCCTCCCACGGTCTCCTTAGAAGTGATAGGTGGGCAGGACTTGACGCAGCTTTGCTGCTTCCTGGTGAATCACAGTGCCTCTCTGAGGGGACCCAGCCCTGCTTCACTATGAAGTAGAATGAGGGGTCGTCTTCACGTGAAATCACCAAGGAAATGACCTCAGCAGACGTCCAGACTTCTGCGCTCGGGATGAAAGGGCCTGGCCCTTGACTGTGGGTTCTGTGGCAGGAAGGTCTGGTCTCCTGGGCCGGAGGGATAAGGGTCTGGCAGAGTTGCTCCCAGTTTTGCGTGAGGACGGGTCTTAGCTTTGCGTGTGTACTGGTTCCCTGGCTGCAGAGCTTCTACGCCGTGAGGAAGCGAGGAGGAGTGTGGGGCAGCGAGTGACTCGAGGGGGTGATGAAATGAGGAGAAACAAGAGTGAGAATATAACTGCCTGGCAACGCTTACAAGGTTGCTGACTGAAAGTAGCCCCCCAGCATTTTCCGAAAAAAAATTTTTTTTTTTAACTGAGCGCGTTACTGTGAGAAGTCATGTCCTAAGGCCTGCATGTTAGGTTAGCCTTACCCTTGAGCCAGCCCTGGTCGTTGGTTTTATGCATCTGGAACAAAAACAACTTTAAAGGCCAGCATGATCTCTTCTCCAGGCCTGCAGAGATAAATACCCTTGTATTGGGAGGAGATGACCCCAACACTCGTGATTGTTATAATTTATACAAATACTTTCGTCAAATATTGATGTGAGATGTTTATTATACAATG